ACATCAATTAATCCCGAGTATTCGCATTTGTCACTACGCCATTGGATCTCTCTTTCATTAGTCAGCTTAACCCTTCATTCTTGTTTAAGTTATTCTTTCTGAATAGAGTCAGTCAATTTTACAAATCGAGGAAACCATAATTTAATTGAAATGCAAAAGTAGACGCGGCTTACGTAGGCGCACCCTTCCTGGGTAATTCTGCGACAACCTTCTTTATCCGCCACCATTGTCTCACATTTTTATGCACAATGGATATGGATCGGTTAACCCCAAGCATCCTCCTTTTTTTCTTTTCAAAAAAGAATTAATTTTCTTTTTAAATTTTTTTTTCTGGTTGAATTATGGTCTGGAGGAGTGTGAGAAAAGAGGGGTCGCGGGGCCCGCATTATCCAGGAGAGAGGAACGCGTGTTTCGCGGAAAAGACAGAGTCAAAGTCTGAGGATAATGGCCTGTGCCCCTTTTTTTTTTTTTGGACAGAACTGTGCCCTGTGGATTCCTGTGCGAGTGGGATTGTTGTCGCCCCCTCACCTCCTCTCCATCATTATCCCTTTCCTCCCTTACACGTACCCCCTTGTTTTAAACATCTATACTTCATCATCTCTTCAATCCTAAATACTACCTCTGAGGTTTTATGATTTGATAATATATATAAATTAGTTAGAAAATTTATTTTAATTCTAAATACGAATTTATAATTTTTCTTCCACTATCATTATTAATTGTGGATATTAAATGACTTTTCATCAACATAGTTTTAGTTTGAATGCCAATAATTAAAATAAACATTTTAGGAAAACCAATTAACTAAAATAATTTATTTAATACCTGCAAATTATATCAAGTACAAGGGATAATACTTAATGCTATGATGATAATATGGTACTACCTCCTATTTTTAATATGAAAAATAGCTTGATATTTAATTTAATCTTAAATATAAGATTTTAATCTGTTTTATTTTTTATATTTATCTATTTCTTTTTAGTAATCCTCGTTATGACTGCACATGTAAACTATTTTGTCAAATAGTAGTTCTAGATAATATATATAATTATTAAAATATTTAAAAAAAACTCATATTTATTATAAATAATTAACTTTTTTTTTTCCTTCTTCACCAATTCATGAATTCAAATTATTCCCCCGGTTTTTGTACGAAGGATGAGAGGGAGTAAGATTTGACAGGTGTAGCATGTCAGCTTCGGGTGGGGCCCGCCCTATTACGTTGGGTTGGACGGAATAAAGGATGCTCTCTTTACAGTTTTACCATTTACTTCCCTTGACGTTGAACTCCTCATGCCCGCCGTGGCAGCCGTGTCCATGTTTGTTTTCGGTCTACGCTGCCATCCGTTCAACCACGCCTGCGCCTTCCATATCAACTATGCCATCATTTTAAGAATAGACTCCCGTTCCATGTATTAAAAAATAATAATAATAAAATTTAGGACAAAACAAAGTTTATAAATTATTTCTTCATAATTTATTTTAATTATTATTCATCCCTCCTATTCACCCAAAACAACCTTCCGCGAGCGAATGTTAACTCTTTTTCAGGAGCAGGAGCTCGAGTAACATTCTAGTTCTAGCTCTTGTCATTATTCAGGTAAAGGTTTCATTAGATAAACTGACTTTAAACCCGGGGCTCAACTCTCATATAACAATTCAACATATGCGGGAAAAAAAAGAATTCTTTGAAATCACCAAATTACTTTGAAGTCCACGTCATTGTAAATGAACTCAGTTAACATCTTGATAAATGTACACTAAATTTATTTATAATTAAAGGAACATGACTTCTGAGTAATCTGGTTTTAAGAGATTTTTTTTTCAAAAAAAAAATGAATTGTTTGTGTGGGATATGAAACGTGTTTTTTTTGTTATACATTTATTCATAGGTCCAAGTTTTCTTCGACGAGGAAATCACGTGGCCCAGCCCAAGCGATCCAACACAACCACGATCCACATAATTATTTTAGACTCAGGGCATTTAGAACCCGCTGGATATTCTGACAATATCCCCCTTCCGCTCCGTATAGGCCCATGAATATCTAGGTAATAGGCATTTATTATTATTTTCTTTCTTTCTTTTTTTAAAAGAAAAAGCTTGCAGACCATTTTTTTTGAACGCAGTCATAATGTTATATTTGTGATAAGAAAGTGATATTGCTTTTTCAAAAATAGTAACACTGACACATCGTCATACCATCTTTATTACTTTTTTTTTTTACCAGAGTACCATCTTTATTACTTTTAACTTTTTTATTATTTATTATTTTTACTCAAACATTTTGCTTTTTTTTTTTATGGAAACATTTTACATATTGATACAAGATCTGACGAATTTATTTAACTTTCATATAAACAGGTTAATGGTTGGCAGTTGGCACAGGGAGTTTGTGGGCGCAGTTTGAGGCCAATCTAAAGTATTGAAAGAAAATGCTACATCCACAATAAGAAAAAGAATAAAATAAATTAGAAAGGGAAGCTGAAGGGAAGGCCTTCCCCGGACGTCCAAAGCAATTATTGTTAATTAATTTCTCATAATATAAAAAAGAAAAAGCCCAGATCTAATTAATATGATGATTTGGGTTCATCTATTACTATGAGTTTCAATAAATGTTAACCCACAGTATCTCGATTAAAGGAAGCTGAAATACTTAATGCCTGCGTGACTGTACTACCGACCGTTTCCACCGAGCTTCCCCCTTCACTGGCCTGCGCCTCTGATCCTTTCAGAATTGAGAGCGATAATTGATTGGAGGTGGTCAGATAGCCACCATGCCGGGTCCTGGTCCTCATATGATGTACGCGATGGGCTCCGGCGTGGCTCTCACGGCGGTCACCCACGGCAGATTCAGCCCCCACCACACTCTCACCTACGCTCTTAACGCCTTCTTCGGTCCCGATGTTGGTTCCTTCTCCGAATGGCTTGCTTCCTTCGTTGATAATCCCGCTAACTCCTTTGCATCCCGCCTTCCCGATCTTATCCACCATCCCCTCTATTACATTCTTATCTTGGGACTTCCCTTCTCCTTTCTCTACTCTTGGATTTCCAAGCTGCTTCTTCGACATCAGCTTCTTGATTCTGTCCCTAGGGTCAGTCACTCCCTCACTTCACAAAACATAGTTGGTTCGGGAACTTATTGCTCAGCCTCAAATTTTCCCGAGCTACTTTGATATTTTTGTTTCCAATCATGGGTGGTATCTCAAACATATTTGACTTAGCTTGGCATATTGGGGTCGGAATGGTTTCACTGGGACACCAAGTACATGCTATACGGCAAAGAAACATCTTGTCTATAAATTTGATTGTCCAATTCCCTTGATTTTCTCATGAAGAAGAAACCTTGGCCGTGTTTCTTTTTTGTTTGTTTCTTGAATGCTTGAAATGAATGCATCCGCTTTATATATGGTCCAGGTACCCCTTACATGGAAGCAATGCTTCTTGTTGATATCTGCTGGCTCTTTTAGTCACTTCTTCCTGGATCATTTATTTGAGGTACGTATTAGATCGGGGTCATCTGTACTATTGCTTCCTTTCATATATGCTCGTTCTATAAACTTAAACTATTAGCTTGATCCATGTTAAGTGAACCAAATGAAATGGTTCTCATTTACTGATGACATAAGCGAATTGATATTTTTTGTAACCAATTTTGGCCTCGACTGGGAGTTACATGTGCAATGGTTATCATTTGAATTTGCAATCTAGCTAGGTTTCCTAAAATTACATCACACAATCGTAGTCACGGGTCATTATTTGGTGTCAGGCGCATAATTGGTGGAACTCAGGTTCATATCAATAACTGTCACCCCTTAACTGTTGAAAATCGTAAAGTGATATTTCTTGAGTGATTAAGTTCAATGATTGTACTTACCTAAATAGACTACTGTAGTTCATGTACTTAGTATTTACCAGTATCAACTTCTGTTGTTATGGAGATCTCTGAAATTTACATGCAACGGAACATCAACAGAAAGCTTCAATGAAGTCGTTAGCAAAAACAAAAATCACAAGCTTCTCCCACTATGTTCTCATAGTCGGTCCCAATCCTAGATATAGGAGGAGGATTGTTTTAGGCCCTTGATAACCAAGATAAAACATTGTCACATTTCTCCTGGAGATGAAGTCTAAAACATTCACAGCTAAAGCTTTGATGTTGGTCCTATGAGTAGTACTGTACCAGACTACTAGGATATCTGATAGAAGTCTAAAAGTTCACACACAGGCTAGCACAGTCTTATTCAAGGAAAGGTCAACCCCCACCCCAAAGTGTATTTTCATTTAAATTCGTGAACATAACCTTATTATATCTTCTCTATTTACATTGCCTATTATTTGCTGTATTTGTGACAACTGGTTAGTAACAAAAAATCCTGAATAAAGTTGGGAACTGCACCTCCTCTGCATCAGCAGCTGAAGATAATGAACACAAGCCGCTGGAAGCCATCCATAGATGCCATTTACTAATTACGGTTAGTACATCAAACACAACTAGATACCCCAATAAACCATGAGAAAGACGTCAATTACGATTCTCATGAGCTGCAGCAAACCACTTTTTCATAATGTCTTACTCGCTTTCAGGTCCTCCAATCCATCGTCGCTCATTAGGTATTCATATTTGTTTCTGATACGGACCAAGGTAGTGTAGAATGCCTAGATTCCACATCGGGCAGTATGGGTTGTCCAATATATAAGATACTTATACAAGTAGCTCTGTCACCTCGGTAGTTAGGTTTTGAAGGAAAGCTTTCTGTCCTGCTTGAGCGTCTATCAGGCCCCCTCTAATTAGTTACTATTTTTAAATTAGAAGTACTACGTTCCTGATCCCTTCCATATGCAAGTATACTGTGCTATTGATTGATGGCTTTTATGTTGATGCAAACTATAACAAGAATTGGAGTTGTGCTGAGTTGTAATGTTTAGCGAGCTATCCAGTGGGGTCCAAACTTTATTGTGATTTATCCTCAAAATTTTCTCAGTTATATTCAAAACCTTGTAGGAGAATGGGCACTCAACTGTGTATACTTGGATTTTGAGCACGGGCTGGTGGGAAAGCCGAGCACCAATTAACCCAGATGCTGTTGTTGTAGTTGCCTTTTTATGCACATGCTTATATGGTGGCTTTTTTTACATTAACAGGTGCTTGTTTCTACATTCTTCGTGTTAATTATCAAGTTATATGTTGTGGTGTTGACATTTTCTTTCCCCTCGAAGACCATGCAGAGTAAATTCATCAAAATCCTTTGTGAAGAAGTCGCATCAATCACTGCTACTCGTCCTGTTTATAGCTTGCTTATACTGTTTATGGTGTGCAGTTCAGATATACTTTATCAATCCTCGTCGTCCTGCAGTTGGGGAAGAAGCTGATCTTGGTGTGATAGTTTTTTTAGCCACATTTTTCTTCCTACCCCATGGTCTGTGTATAATGTCCATGCACCCAAATGATCTTCACACAGATCAAATTCCTCTTTAATTGTATTTGCATCTTACTGATAGGATATGAAATAATGATTAATTAATATTTTAGATATTTCGGATGTTTGGCATTAGCAAGGAATATTCGGTTTTTAATTTGATTTGACTGTTACTTTTTATCATTCATTGTTATTTGCATTTAATTTAGGATTCTAGAATGGGCCTAAGAAATGTTGGTTGGCTGATAACTTTAACCCAGACCCAGTAGTTGTTATGTTTTGGTCAGAACCCACCGGGAATTGAAGAGTGCTTCTTTTGGATACATTTCGTACTTTTCACTTCATTTTTACCTTCTTTTTTCCACGCCAAGTTATCAACACATCATCAATCAATATAAGATATGGAATCTGTAATAATTTACGCTAGTTATGAGTCATGAATCATACGACTCATTCATTCATGAAACTTAATGTTATGCATAGGGACCACATTTTATTTATCTTAAAAATTGAGAGAAATTAAGAAAAAAAAAATCATTCTCAACAAATACGAGGGAGAAGTTGATTACGGAATAAAATATATGAAATAACGCATTTAGGAGCTACAACTAAAAAGAAAAAATTAGAAGGACTTGGCTATGTAATTTTAAAAATTAAGTTTCTGTCTCAAAAATTTGTATTGGATATTGATTAATTCGAGTTAAGCAATGAGAAATTTAAGCAAGCCTATAATAGAAAAAGATTTATTATAATAAGTTCCTTGATTTTAGTTTTCACCAGAAGCAGGGAGAGAGTGGTTACAGAAAATTACTCGTGTTTTCATACTTAGAAGCCTTTTTCAGTGAAGATTAAGGGGACGTGGACACCGAGAATCAACTTTGAAAGCTGAGCTTTACTTCTTTATTAAATGAAGAGATGTCCAACACATTAGTCAAAAAATGCGACGCCTCCACTTTCCCTTTTAGAAAGTTTAGTTTATTGGAAGTTACATTATTTGATGTTCTGTATATAGTACTCCTCCTGTCTTTTATAGGGTCCAATTTTTGAATTGGTTTTGATCCTAAATATAAGACCTATTTATTATATTTATTAATTTTCTCTAAATTACCCTTATAGATACTCCATCAGCCATAATCAAGTAGAAGAGGAAGAGGAGGTATTAAGAAAGATGATTATGGTGTTTTAGGAAAAACGTGTCGCGTTTCTTATAATTAATTAACTTACCTAACTTCCTTAATATAATCAAATTAGTTAAATAAGTCTTATATTAAGGACACGAGGAGTACTACTTAACGTGACTGACTCTCAATAATTTTCCCTCGCGCGCGCGCACACGCTGATCTGGACTTACACTGTTACACATATATCAATGGACCCTTGTTAATATATACGATTTTAAGCCTTTTTATGTGCTCTCAAATTAATCCAGAAAATAAAATAGTATATATTTTGTAAATTTATAGATAAAATTTAAAAAATCAAGTAAAAGCTCCTGCTTAAAAATTTTATTAGCTAAAATAATCTTGTATGTTTTAACACACAGAAAGTATTGTTACGATTTCATAAATTCAGATAAAATTTTTAAACATAAACTCTTTACTGATTTTTCATAAAAGATATAAAGTAAAAACGTTAGGGAGGCGAGAAAGTTAAAATGAAACAGACAAACCTTTTTTTTCTTTTAACCACATTCAAAAAGTTTAAATATAGATCACTGCCTTTCTTCTAATTCTATGCTGCACCAATCCACCTGGTCAAGATGTTTTTTCAAGGGTGAGTGAGTAACCATATACATCTCCGAAAGAAAGGCAAACACAGAAAAGACAAATACAGTAAAAAGGGTAACCATTAATCTAACAGCAAGAAAGTTCATGATAACAAGTTTACTGTCATTTAAGTTATTTGTAAAAGTTCAATGATTAAAATTTTAAAATTATGAAAAAAAATTACAGTTTAAAATGAAAAATCAATATTTTTATTAAATATACTTCAAAATAATTTGAAAAAATTACACACGCCCGCATACAATCAAGTTATTAAATTAATTGAAATTAATTTACTTAATACGGAATATTGACTTTCTTTAAGATGAAAACTACTATTGACACAATCCAAAATGTGATTTGGTAGGTTGAATTGATATTTTTGATTATAACAAATCTTAACAACCATCTCCTTGGACATTCAAAGGACTATTTCTCTTTTCTCAGTTGGCATCTTCAAAGCAAACCCTTTTCTTGTTATCTTCCTGTTTTCTTCAATTTTAGGCCAACGCAGTCGAACTTTCTTGGGAGACAAAATCAACATAACAGCTCTTATTAAAAATAAATAACCATTCCTTTCATGCTTGAAGACTCACAATTGCTGCATAAAATGTTGCGATTTTTTAAATTTTCTTTTCATTTAAAGTACAATATACATCTAGAGTTCAGATTCAGATTCAGATATATGATATGTTGTTGGCTAGGCTCTCTGATGTCTATTTCCCCTCTGACATCTGATTCACTATTTCAAATATTTTCACTATAATCTAAACTAATTAATCCCAGTTCCCGGCAAATTAAAAACTATATGAAAACCAGATTCTTGGGTTTATGAAAGTGTGAGTGGAATATTGCTCTTCATCATCGTTTAAAGAAATTGATCTTTGAGTCGAACATATATAAACCAATTATTTCATAAACTTAAACAATATCTGAAATGATGTGTCATTAACCTTGCCAAGTCCCTTACCACCAGCTGGAATATATTAAACTTTACTTACTTTCATAATATTAAACAGTGTTTTTAGGAAATGAGATTTCATATATGGTAGTACGTATGTGATTACTTTTTCCAGTACAATATACACAGTGAAAAGTCGGCAAGAAAATTGATTAATCAGTATCCCTTGTAATGATTTACTCAATGCCAATCGTTTAGATACAAGCAATGAATTTAGTGAGACAAGTAGTAGTGTTTTTGAAGGAAAACACAAACTTTGGGGGGACAGCAAAAATGCAAAATTTCTCAAAAATCCAGACACATCGATGACATCTCACTTGACGAAGATTATTGTCGGAATTTGCATAATAATGTTGTCGGCATATTAATTACTGTTGAATACGCTTAAAATGCTGGACAAGCTTAATTGGTCTCTTTTCCCGTAATTGACATCAACATTCAACTCCACTTAAGTACTGTTCTTGGGCTTCATGCTGGCGACACTTCTCGCAAAAGATGGCAAGCAAAAGGCAGCAGAATGAACCTGAAAACGATGAATAAGTTAAAGGAGAAAGAAGACAGATCAATGAAAAAGGGATGACTTGTAATTAATACTCCTCCGGTCCTTAATATAGAGTTCAATTCTTGAGTTGGTTTTGGTCCTAAATATAAGACCCATTTCTCATATTTATCAATTTTCGCTAAATTACCCCTATAGACACTCCCTCAACCATAATCAAATAGAAGAAGGAGATGAGGTATTAAAAAAGATGATTATGGTGTTTTAGGAAAAATGTGTCACTTTTTTTTATAATTAACTAACTTACCTAACTTTCTTAATCTAATCAAATTAGTTAAATGGGTTTTATATTAAGGATCGGAGGAGTAAATTGGTTCGGGGGTTTGATGATGACGTACCTCAGAGTTGTAGAACTTCAAGGGTTGCTTGGATATGCCATAGTTTTGTGGGTCTATGGGGTTTATTGGACATCTGAAGTCCACGTATGGGCCTTCTGTGGAACAAAGCAAGAATCCTATGACCCCACTGAAAGTAATTAATTAACTGCTTGGTTAGGATTCATTCATCCACAGACATTAAATGATTGAAAAGACTACCTGCTAAGGTAATAAAGAGGCTGGGAGATATAATAGATTCGATTTGTTAAATCAATTACAAGGTTCATTTGTGGTCATTCGAGAAGGATGAACAATATTAAGACATTGCTGTTACTGATTTATGATTCTGCAAGTATTTTGGAACGGTTTGGCAAGACATTGTTATTATGATTAGAGATGGATGAGATGAAAATGATTTGGTGAGATGATGAGAATATATTAAAGAGACAAGCACGTGATGAGAGATGAATATTAAGAAGGTTAATTAATTTGCCTTGGATAAGCAGGAACAGTGGTCCAAGCATAATCAATGGAGCCTTTGAAGATTTTGTGGCATTTGGAGAAGAGCTTCTGAATGTCTAGTGAGCCACACCATAAGCTCTCTGCTTGAATGCACACAACTCCTCCTCCTCGTAGAGCTCTCGATGCCACTCCAAAAAACTCTGATTCGAATAGCTCATGATCAGCCCCTGCACCATATAAGAGTTTAATTAATTACAGAAACAAACAGGTATGTGTATGTCTTTGTACATATCAGAAAAACAGGTATAGTTGCATATATACTTATTGGATCGAAGGCGTCTACTATTATTGCATCGTAGCTGCCTCTTTCGACAGATTTCAGAAACAAAGTTCCTGCGCAAATAATTAAAGTTTTAACAGCAAACCAAAGTTAATCACAATCTTAATAATTAAACACACAAAAAAATGTGTACGGGACGTGCCATCTGTGACATGAAGTTTGACTCGAGAGTCCTTGTATCCAACAGCTATATTTGGGAAATATTCTCTGTACACCTTCAAATTCATGAAACTATAAATTAATTTGATGTTTTCCAATGTTGTGTGTATATTTTAGAATTTAGAGTTCTAGCTAATAACGAGATGCTGCAGAAGAAGAGCAAGCATGAGGATAATTAGCTTACATCAATCAGCATAGTGTCTATTTCACAAATGTCAATTTGCTCCACAGAAGAGTGGCGGGAAATTTCTCTGAGGATGCCACCATCTCCCCCTCCTATAAGCAGTACCTGAAACATGATTCAAATTAAGGGGTATAAATATCAGAGAGAAGCTGTCTTCGACAGGCTTTTAGTACGTTATTCTGTACTAAAATTGATGATTTCCTGTTTCTGATAATTTCTTGTATATCTCTGTGTCTACTGAGTCGTCCAACCTTTTTTGGGTTAGGAATGGAGCAAAGAGGAAGGTGGGTCATCATCTCTTGGTATGAACATTCGTCTTTCTCAGTGAGTTGGAGAGCTCCATCCAACACAAAAACTTTACCGTAGGTTGCTGACTGCAATTCAAAAAGAAAAAACAAAAATCTATACTCTCAATATGCAGATTACCTGCGCACGGACTTCGTAATTAAATATGTATTGATCAAAGTATGCTATACACACACATGTACGATGCAATTGGATTGTGTCTGCTTCAAAAGCTACAATTTAGCTTGTCACGTTACGTTGATAAATACCGGAAGAAAGCTTGAATTTATGATTTTTTTTCCCAACTCAACATAAGGGTAAATACAAGTAAGTAATTTTACTTTTGAAAGCATGCATATTTTATAGAAGTTCAACCTCATTGATAGTTGATGTAATTTATTTCCAAATAATGATTGGCCTAAGGAAAAAGGACAAAAAAATACATGAGAAATTTCAAATTGACAAATAGGTGATTTTAATAGATTTTAAGTACTCCTCCGGTCCTAATTATAAGACCCAATTGACTTATTTGAGGAGATTAAGGAAGTAAGTTAAGTTGGTTATTTATAATAAATAAGTGTTGTTATTTCTAAAATATCCTTGCTAATTAAGTATATTGGCTAAAACTATCATTATTAGAAGGATTATCTTGAAAAAAAATGTATAAATATAAAAGAAAAAATGGATTGGGTCTTATAATTAGGACCAAATAAAAAGTCAAATTGGGTCTTATAATAGAACCGGAGGAGTAAAAAAACCATTACAAGTATAGTCAAAATCATAACAAAAGTAATCGGCATGATCTATTTGTTTTTTTCAAAATCAATAGGTATTTTTTCTCATTTTTTCTTGAACTAATTGAAATGTGTTTAATATTTCTTTAAAGCCAGAAAATGCATATAATATGCTAAGTGAGAGCTATTAGTATCACCTGAAATACCAGCATAGATTGGTACTGGGACTTGCCTTGGAACAAAATATTTTCAACCTTCAAAAAGTGTGCTTGCCCTGCGACATATTCTATCACCTTGGTTATAACTTTATGAAAAATTTTCACCTTTGCGAAACTTTTGTTCCTGATTTTTCAATATTCCTTCTTTTCCACGGGATAAGATAGGGAAAAAAACAAGATTGAAAAATAAAGCTGCTCCTTGTGCTGAACTTTTGAATAATAAGGAAGAAAGTGTCATTCTTTAACGTGTCACACGTTAAAGAAAGGGACTTGACTATTTGAGAAATAAAAATGAATACGTGTGGTTGAGTACATATATCAATAAAGGGGAAAAAAAGATAAGTATCAAATGGTTAAAATTAATAGTATCAAATGGTTAAAATTAATATAGAAACATATTAACGTAAAATTCAAGAAGACATCATTAATGATGATTTATTTATTAATTAATTTTGATTATTAATTTGAAATTGATTATATTTTCATTCTCACTGAACACCAATTAATGATAAATTAGTCACTCAATAAAAAATAATTTAAAATTCATTAAAATTGCATAAACAAAAGACTGAGTTTTAAAAAACCAAACATGCAAACAAAATGTAATATGCGTCAGTCCGACTGAAAAGGCCTAGAGGAGAACACTTATTCTGGACTTAGAGCTAGGAGCGTTTCCAAAATTAAACGTTCCCATTTTCAGCCCTCCGATAGATATTTTCTTATACTCCATTGATGTAATAGTGGTGATCACTAACAATTGCACCAACTTGAAAGCTTTTAGAGAAAAGGGGAGAGGGAGAGAAAGTTATTATATTTATATATATATAATCCCACCTGGCCAAATGGAAGAAAACTCAGAAAACCATCCATCAGGATGAACATGATGATTGGCGGAGGATTCATCATCTTCTTCTGAAGCTGTGATCCTCAGAGTAGAGAAGCCATTCTTACCATTACTCATTACACTAAGAGGATGAACCTTGAAACTCACGCTATCCATGGCGTTTTACAAGAGAAGACCCTCTGGACCGGACGGCGTTTTCAAAATGTGTATATCTTTGGATCTCTAAATCTAAAGGCTCAAATCTTAAATAGCCACGAATATACCGTAAAGTGGGAGGAGAGGGAACTGTTTGATATCCAAAAAGTGAAATTCACTTTGATTATGTTCACATATTTAAAGTAAGAAGAACAACATGAGTAATCATTGGGTTGCAACTTCTCATGAAGATTTCAACAGGACATGGTTTTGCTTGGTGGTTACAGGTCTTCATTTTTTAGCCATCATGTTCATCATGCTGCTTCCATTTCTTTCGCTCTTTTAGCATTTTTATGCCTGGGCTTGCAGGCCCTGTCTAAGGTTTCCCCCTTCTTTGGGCCCTAGAATGGGCTTCATAAGCCCAAAACCTAAGGGCCGCCTGACTTGCTGGTGCATATCGGCCCAAGTTAACTTGGATATATATTAGGTAGAAAAGAAAATTCCAAGTGCTGCCGTGTCATATCAATGTTAATAATATTCATTTAAATATTATTAATTCGCCTTGACGCACTGCCCTAATGCTAAAGATACTCTTCAAAATAAGGAGGAGGAAAGAGGGCGGGGGGTGGGGTTCACTCAAATCAAGGATATGCTGGTTTAGCCCTCTTTGTGGTAAAAGATGTTATTAATCGCAGAATCAGATAGGAATGAGAGTAGCTAAAGTTGCAAGGTGAGCATGATGTTATTATTATTTTTATTTAGTTTAGGCTTCTGATGATGATTGTGTAATTTTGACGTCTTATACAAGGAAAGTGCAGAATATGTTGTGATGAACAGCAGAAAGAATATAAGATTATATTGTAGGGTGAAGGTGTCGGCTGCAGATTTGAGAGAGTGCTACGTGTTGGTGTTGGAGGAGCTAGAGAAGCAATTGATGAATATGACTTTGGAAAGAAATTTTAAAAAAAAAAACAGAGAGAGAGAGAGAACAAAGCAAGCATGCTGCTCGCCCTTTCATTTGTTTTTTTAGTTTGTATTCTCCGTAATTATATATCATCAAACAGCTTTCATGCTTGCATTGCTTGGTCGCCATAGATTTCAAAAGACACGCGTTTGTTTGCTATCTCATGTCCTATTCCAATCATGTATGTGTATGAGTTATATATATCGTATATGTCACGTCTAATTAATTGTAGCAAATTGTTCTCAATCTTAGTAGAAAATAATTATACTTAACGAAGAAGATTTATTTTTTCCCCGGCACGCAACATTTGAACTTTATACGCATATCTTATGAAAGGATTTCATAGTTAGACCGCATCATACTGGCTGAAACCAGAAGATATTTCTTAATCAATAATGAACGAACAATACTTTATCCACTTGAGTTATATAACAAGCCAACCAGTAAAATGAAACCCAAAAACCAAGTTGACTGCAATAGCCTGAATCTTCGTAAAAGGAAGGCGGCAGAACATGCTGTGGGTGTTAAGGAAAAACATTTGCAACCTACGACCCAAATAAAGTACCCAGCGTTGTACGTGTGCTGGCGACACAAACAAGCAAAAGTATACGTACCAACCTATCCTTAATAATATTGCGCTGTGATTATACCATGAAGCTTTCGTCTCTTTGTACGTTTGCTTGTCTGACCAAACCCCTTTGACTGCTAACCTTCTTCGTGAGGTTAACTAATTCTACGATATGAGTTTGTGGCCGGAAAAAGCAAAAGCCCTTGCTCAGCTGTCAGGGTATTTTTGTGCCGCCAACGGTGCTGTGAAATGTAGACGCCGGTGTCTTCACAGCCGAAGGGGGGATACTTGGACCAGTCCAGACAGAAATTAGCTAGCGAGTTCTTGTTGGTGATGGATATCATAGGACACATAATAATTTCTGGTGTTGAAGTGAATGATTGAAATGGATGAACAGGGATCGGACCCAGAACATGGAACCATCAAGCAGGGTGATGATGCGAGGATATTATTGAGCTAGGGTAATTAAATTGCTAACACAATCACAGATCAAAGTCTAGCTATTTGATTCTAGAAATTAATTAGTTTGAGTGATTTATTATTTTAAAATTAATTAATTATGTTGGTTGGATTCTTAATCATGGCTTAATTGTAGTAAGCTAAATTAGGAAAATGTTGTTTTCATACCAAATTAAGACTTTAATATTACTAACCGTGGGGCAAGATCCCAGAATCTCCAAAGCACTAGGCCTCAGCAATACATGTCAAACCCCATATTATGGCCACAGGCGCAACAGCCAGTAAGTAACTTCATCGCTTTGACTGACTTTTTTTTTTAATTTTTATTTAATTCCAAATCCGACATACGTGCCCGGAGGCACCGACCATCACCCATTCAGTCTGCCAGTGGGGACCATCCAATCACCACAACGGATTAGTATTACTCTCTGTTTCATATAATGCGATTGTTATAATCTGATTACTAATTTCTTTTTTCACAGCGTATTAATAACATCATTTCTTTTAAATGTTATATTTGAAATTATTATTAAACTTTCAAGACATGGCCATGAAAGCTTGTTGATGTGGAACAAGAAGAAAAGGCGAGAAATTGAGGGGGAAAAAAAGAAAATTAGGAAAGAATAATAAGAAAGGCGAGAAAGTTGAAAGAAAATAAGTCTAAAACTTCAATAGTATAATGCAGTCATGAAATCTAGAACTAATTATACTAAAACAATAATAAAAATAATAATAAAAATAATAAAATATTGATAAATCTAAATAAATCCTTAAAAATCTAACTAATCTAAATATTTTAGATAATTCAACTATTCAAATAATAAAATAAAATTAAAATAATATAAGTTCTAAATATCTGCATCATTTGTTTAATTAATAGACCCTCAGTGGTGAGGTCCCTCTTGTTGATTTTATTGTAGAGCTTGCCATCATCTTTCTCGCATTCTCCTCCTCAACCCTTAGCCGCTGTACTGGTTCAATAGAGATGGTTTCGATGGGGATGACCACTATTACTATTAGGTTATACTCAATCTACTCGTAGTAGATTAGGCCCCGAGCATAATTTAGGTAAAGGGTTAAAGGGAGTTTTTATTTATCATCATCATCACCAGTGCTCCGATTTCGTGTGGGCAACCTAATCGAACAAATGGAATCTGGGTACGCCTCAAAATTCTTTGGACACAATATAATGGCTAGTTTCATTATAGGTGGGATAAGGGTTTGAACTTTGAAATGGGGGCGAAGTTGTCATTTCATTCTTGCAAGTAGGGGCACAAAGGTTATAAAATTTGGATTTCAAGGAATTGGAAACAAGCTCGTTTGATAGTTGTGTGAAGGAGGAAGCAGACGAGTAATGATGAAATGCAAGAATTTTATGGGAAAAGGATAATACGCCATCATATACATACAAGCTCCCTAGATCCCTGGTAGTTCAAACTTCAAAGGTAGGTGGGAAGTTACGTATATGCGTCAAGTCGGTACATTTGTATGCATGTACTTGTCTGGTCCTATTTATAAAGCGTTTCCAGTATGTTTCACATAAACTAAGAAAAAACTTAAACTTTATTAATTCTCATTTAAGATTTAATGTCTTTCTAACTTTATCCCTATTTAATATGCATTATACCTCATATAAACAAAGTCAACACAATAATAAATTAGGGATAGAATTATACATCTATACAAAAAATTCTCTCAGTGCCTTATAAATAGGACCAAAAAATATCTTCTCATTCTGACTTATAAATAGGACCGGAAGAGTATGTATGTATGGTGCCTTCATACGAAGAATCAAATTATGGCAAAGCAAACATGAGATAGAATGTACGGTGCGGGAATCAAACGCGTAGATTACGTACTTAACACTCACATCTTCCTTGTCGTTATTTATATATAATCATTATATTTACTACTAATTATTCTTTCATTAATTAACTGGTGCGTGTGGTGTGCAAGCAAAACATAACCCCAAACGATCCATATATGTGTGTGCTTTGTTCCAGAGAGTGACACATTGCAGATATGATGACATTAATGACTCGCTACGTACACAACATTTCGTTATATATGACAAATATTCAACCGCTCAATAGTTTAGTTTAATTGCTCATCATCATCACCATTTTATCGTCCTTAATTGTCATAATATGTGCTAATTTAATTAGGTGTTGTGTCAATTGCATGGATATATAATATTTGTGGTGCATAGGGGAAACGCGTTGTACTGGGCACTCCGTGATTGGTCCACGTGATTTCCCGTGCACATCATCCTTTTTGAATTCTTTGACATGTCCAAATATAATATAAAATAAGGTGCAAAATATTAGTTTGATTCATTCATTCATCCATTTGTCGCCACAAATCAGTCGCCTTCTGGAGTTCTGGGTTGCTGGCAGGAAAACTCAAACTGGGTTATCTCCATATCAGATATCTTAATGCTTTGACGTGACAACCGTCCTTTTCCACGTAATTGCATAGCAGCGTTAGTAACCGGTCCGGTTTATAGTCTTGTTATTAGTCCTTCTAATTTAATTTGAAGGAATTTTTGTTTTAATTTCTATATATAAACTCAGACAAAATTCTTATGAAACTGTAGAAACAATTTAAAATTACAGGAAAAAAATTATTAAAAAAATCGAATTGTGAAGACCTGCAGTGACATTAACCTTACCTTGTTCATTAGCGTGACATTTGGGAAACTTAGCTTAATTTCGACACCTCCAATTCTATGCAAGGACTAATATAAATATCCATATGCTAAGGTTACCCTCGCACTATGTGCACACACTTCTTCAATCCTAATAAACGCGCATACTTCTTCAATTCTAAATGTACATATAATCAAACTTATATACATATATTATTAACAAAATTAGTTGAGTTACTTAGTCGTAATAAATATGTTTTAGTTTTTTTATAACATATACTCGAATCATTTGTATTGGAAACTACTTCTATTAATGAAAACTTCTTTTACATGTAAAATCAATGAAACAGGAAAAAATTATAAATTTAAAAGATAACATGTA